GCAAGAAACCACTTAAGGATTTCTTAGGTGGTGGAGGAAGAAAAGCAGGTTTGCATTTAAATTGGGGGGGGGGGATTGGAGGAGCCAGGGCTCCTGTGGAGTGGCCTGGTAGGAGGCCACTAGTCCTGGAGATCACAAGAGCACCAGGTCTTCTTCAGGGCAGGGCAGGGGGTGGCTGGAGACAAATGGGTAGCTTCAAAAGGCATTTAGAAGTTTGACCTTGAGATTTCAGAAATGAAGGAATAAGGAAATAGAGATTCGGTGGCAGTATGCAGTTGGGGGATGGACATACTTCTCCTTTGGAAGGCAGAAGCATTTCTGATTTGTAATTAAGTGTGGCCAGTGCTTTACTAGAGGAGCACGGAGTCACACAAGGTCACTTACACAGTGTTTCATAGCCAAGAGTGAAACCCGTGGGCTTAGCCTCTGCTTGGCGTCCGTCCTTTCCCTTGTGTGGGCTAAAGCATGACTCTGAGGACCTTCCTCAGGGTGGGGCTGCAGCCTTCATGGCTGTGCTGTTCCACTTTGCATCTTAGGTGGCAGGTCAGTGCTGGGAAAACCATCCTGGAGTGTCAGAGGTGTCCAAAACACAGTGAGTGACTGGTGCCCTCAAACAGCACGCTGCCCTCCCAGCTTCTATTTCTGCCTCTGCCTGTCACTTTTGCCCTTCATGTACCATCCTTGTTATCAAATCCTGAGCCTTGAAAACTGACAGTGACATTGCTTATCCCTGTACATCGTGGGTCCTTATTAAATTGGACCACATATGGCATATGATCTAGCCATCTTATTCTCCTCTTGGGGGTAGGCCCCCTGCCGTCATCCCTGGGACCCCTCTCCCCACGTAGCAAACAATCTATACCCCGCCCTTTCTTTTTTTTCCCAACTTTTTTTTAAATTTGAATTAGAAACAGGATTGTTTTACATGACAATCCCAGTTCCCTTCTCCCACCTCCCCAACTAAAACCTTATCTGTCACATATCTTTTCTGCTCCCCCTGGATGGTGAGGCCTTCCATAGGTAAGCTTGCTGCAACCCAGTCTCCTTCCCCTACGCACCTAGGTCAATCTGTACTCATCAGATTACTATAAAGCTATTTCCCACCCCCCAGCCTGTCTCTCACTTGTCTGCTCCAAACCCTTAAGAGATGACCTGTGGCCCACTGGGAGAGCTGCAAACCCATTCGCTGGCCAGAACACCAAGCTTTGGTGGAAGTCTTTCTCTCCTTCTCTCCATCGGTGTCTCCAGACTTTGTGTCTCCCAATCTCCCTCATATCCCTGTCTCCAAGCACCTTTCACTTTCCCATACTGTGCAAACATGACATCCTTAGAGAAGGCTTCCCGGCTCCCCTCCCTCATCCCATCTGTCTTAGAGAGTCTCAGCTTCTGGGCTCCTCCAGCACTGGACCTGTCCTTCACCATTTAGCTACAGACACTCGCCTTGTGCCATCATTACTTGTGCATGAGTAGAGAGCAGCATGCAAGGGTGGCCCAGGTCCAGGAGAGATTCCTCAGAAGCCTGCAGGGTATTTTGTGGGAGGGGATCCCAGAACCCAGGGAGAAATGTCCACACTGGCTGAAGCCCCTGGCAAGTAAGGTCTCAGAGGGCTTGTTTCTCCATCCAAAGATTCGGCACATGGCATGGCACTCTAAGGTTCAAATATGTGGAACAATCAAATATCAGCCCATCCTCTCCATAGGCCCTTCATTCAAGGCCACTTTTCTCCTCTCTCTCTCTCTCTCTCTCTCTCTCTCTCTCTCTCTCTCTTCCATCATGAAGGACATTTTATACATTTTATACTCAAACCACACTACAGGCTTTTGAGGATTGGATGAGGCCCACTCACATTGGGCAACTGCTTTACTTGGCCCTATTAATACAAATATTAATCTCATCTTTTACAATGTCCTTGGAGACACATTCAATACAGTGACCAAATAACTGAACACTCTGCATCCCAGTCAAGTTTGTTGTTGTTGTTTTGTTTTGTTTTTTTGGTTTTTTCGAGATAGGGTTTCTCTGTGTAGCTTTGGAACCTATCCTGGCACACGCTCTGGAGACCAGGCTGGCCTCGAACTCACAGAGATCCTCCTGCCTCTGCCTCCCGAGTGCTGAGATTAAAGGCGTGCACCACCAACACCTGGCTGCATCCCAGTCAAGTTAACACATAAAATGAGCCATCATAACTTCTTCAAGAAAGTCTCAGTTTGAGAGGAGACATGGGGAGGAGTGGGGGCTGGACCTGGACTATGCAGGATAAGCGAGAGCATCCACGTAAATGGGCAGTGTATTCAAGGACCCCAGGGCTAAGACACAGTTTGTTACTGTCACAGAAAGCAAGGAAGACAGTGTGTACAGAAAAGAATGGACCGGGTGAGGGGAGTGAGGTGTGTGTGTGGATGGGATAGGACTTATTGGTTGCTTCTGTGGTGGGGACTGTGAACTTAGATGGGAAGAACTGAGAAAGGATTTACACAGAGATTCCATAGGTTTTTGGTTGGTTGGGTTTTCCCTTGTTTTGTGCAGTTCTTGGGGAAGGGTCTTATATATCCCAAACCAACCTAAACTCTCTATGTAGCTGAAGGTCACCTGGAAGTTTTGATCCTCCTGCCCCCCTCCCCATTCTAGGATTATCTCACCCCATTTCGGTGGTGCAGAGGACCAAACCCCAGGGCCTCATGCATGCTAAGCAAGCAGCCTATCAACTGAGCTGTCCCTTTAAAGGAATATCTTTAAACGGCCGCTCTGGTCACTTTGTGGAGATGGGACTGTGGACTGATGGGACTGTGAGGAGGTAGAGGCCATGTCTTGAAGAGGCGGTGAGAAGCAGCTAAACAGTGGTTCTCAACTTTCCTAATGCTGTGACCTTTTAGTACAGTTCCTCGTGTTGTGGTGACCCCCACCATAAAACTACCTCATTGCTACTTCATAAATGTGATTTTGCTACCGTTATGAATCATAGTGTAAATATCTGGCATGCAGGATATCTGATATGCAGCACCCCCCAAAGGGTTAAGACCTGCAGATTGAGAACCTCTGAGCTGGAGGCTTCTGAAGACCCAACAATGTGCTGATGCCTGAGACAGGAGATCTGGGAGGACCCAGAGGGATTTTTTTCCCCTTGAGCTGGATTTTTATTTCCTCATGTAGGAACAAGGGCGAGCCCACGGGGAAGCCTGCAGCCCTGGGCGAATGACCATATGCAATAAAGAGTCTAGAGAAGCCTTAGAAAGGGGTGGGGAAGACACAGTCAATGCCAAAGACAAAGTGTCCTCAGGGGCCAGGTCCATGTGAGAGAGGCAGGGGCCGCCATGCCCAGCCCCCGTGACAGCTACCAGCCTGCCTGATGGCCCGAATTCCAAGCCTGTGCGACTCAGTGTAAACCCATCAGAGACATGAGCCTCCCTTCCCATCCTTGTTTCCTCCCTCCTGCTTGTTCTGGCACAAGCTGCAGCCAGGCAAGGAAGGCAGGAGAGACCTAGGGAACAGGAA